CAGAGCTCAGATCCTTCGCAATACGGAAACAACACAACTGGGACTGGGACGCACACTGATGAGTCTCAGATGGGAAGTGGAAGCGGTACTTCGGTGCTGGATAGTAAGTCGACAGATGATGCCTCGTTGCCGACTATCTCACAGACCATGGTGCTTCGGGAAGCCAATTAGACCCAAGCACCGCTTAGTCAGTGGGTGGTGTCGATAGTCAAGTTACAGGCATAACGAAGCCAAAATCGCATCATCTCATGCCAGGCGTTCAATAAAATCCAGCTGGCCAAGCAAATACATCGGTGTATAATGCTACGATGACTGCTGAACCGGAGTCCTATGAAGGCGATGAAGATGAATACTCTGACTCGAAGTCCGGGGCCAATCAACGGTAAGTGCAACTCGTCCGTTCTCTCCCCACCAGAGAGCTACTCGTATGCAGTATTGTATGCAGGTTCAACAAATCCGCGAAAGCTAGCATTGGAGACAGGATATAATTGGAAATCCCAGCGCGGCCCAACCTCAGGAAACCGATGACAACTCTGGGTAAAATGGTGATTCGATCGCATCTCAAACACTCTCTGCTCAGAGCTCTGTGACCGGATGATTTCGAGGCAGTGCTGCGCTGAGAGCCAGTCAGACATCTATGGTCCCCAGAATCCCAAGCGCCACACCAGGTCCAAAAGAGAACGCAGCGGCTATAGGCTCTGGCTACGGGGCCGTCCATCAAACGACAAAATAATCGGGTCCTGGGCCTAGCAATTCCAACAATGTCGTAGCCTCGGGCGACGACCAAATGTTGACGGTACTGGAAGTACCGCTATGGGATCGCAGAACGGCAGCGTTTCGGACGGAGAAGATGCAGGATACGATGCCGACAGCGAGTATTGGGGTGCTGGTTGCGGGTTCATAGAATTACATGGTTTGGTGTTGCGGTGGTAACATTGGTTTGGTATTAATTCTTCAGACATTTGCTAGATTTTCTGCGGGAGCTTAGCGGCTTGTGGTATCACTTCATTTTCTTGACAGTGCATTTATTGGTGTTCGGGTGGTACTCAGGAGTTAGGTACTTTATACGTTGGAAATGAAGTTCAATTGCCTTCCAAATCACTTGGCGTGATCTGGAAACTGAGGCAGTATGACGAATGCGGGCTCGTTGCTGATGGATACCATAAAACATAGGTGTATTCGCGATAAAATTAGATGTTCAGACATGGCTTGCCCATTCAAACTTGGTGTACAATGTCGAAGTATTCCTACATGATCAGACTCAGATGATGGCTTTCTTTGGACATACTGGACCAGTTGGCTCGGCTATCTTGTCTGCTCCGCTCTTAGTTTGATGATGTTCCGGATCGCCGCCCTCGATCTCAACAACACCAGATATTTTCAACTCTTTCCAGCGGACCGGTGAGTCCAGATGCTGCTCTCCTGACAGATCAACAGTCGGAAACAGAGCAGCACATATCTGGGCCTCCGAGGGTTGATGACCCAAACCAGTCGCATTTGGTGTCATCATACTTCCCACTCCTTCGTAGGCTCGTTTAAAAGACTCCTCATCTATATCCGCTACGTTTCGCAACATCTGCACTCCATCTTCGAAGCTACATCTCTGGGTTAGAAGGAAGTCCTGGCCTCTCGACATATTTGGTATACCCGCCTGCTCTTCCGCGTCTGTATACTTGCGGTAATGATCACCCCAGATATTTCGGGCAAAACATTTGCTCCAAGCCCTGACAAAGGAACCACCTTTCGTTTGCTTAATATCCGGACAATGTTTGACAATGCTCGTCATGCTCTTTCCTTCGAGTCCGCATGCCACAATCCGGTCGAACCATCTTAAGTCTGTAGCGACATTGATCGCAACGCCATAACTCGCAATATTCCTGCGCATATGTATGCCAACAGCGGCAATCTTTTCCGATGGGCTTACCCAAACTCCAGGGGCGTTAGTGCGGAATGAATCTATGTTGCGCAACTTCAGAGTCTCAATAGTAGTTTCCTCTAGCAGTTCAACGTACTGCCGTGCCGTCAATCCGTGTGGAAACTTTTCGCTCCTTATACTCTTAATGTCGAAAATAGGATAAATGACCACCTGTCCAGGGCCATGAAATGTAATCTGCCCACCTCTCTTCGCCTCGAAAATACCAGCAACTTGTGTGCTTCCATCACTTGTAACCAATGGCTCCCTTAATTGTCGTATCTGCGACGCAGTCAAGAGTCCCGCTTCTCTGCGACCTGTTGTGTACACCGGCTCAGGGCTAAATGCGAAGATCGTTGGTGTTGGCGCTGGAGGTAGTGGCGAGGGAGGATTGCGCGAGGAGACAATGGCTTTGTGCTTGAGGAATTCGGCGACGAGGTTCTCCTGGATAGTTTGGGCATGTGCGTACGGGATTGTGTGGTTGCGTGAGATCAAGAATAATCGCAGGAACCTTGGAGCGGACATAGGTGCTGTCTAAGAACTTGGGACTGGGAAGTAGTTGTTTAATTACATTACATTCGTTGATTTCCATTTCGGAGACTTTCTAAAGCCATACGCTCACGTGATCATGACTGTATAATTTTCTTCCCATTCTTAATTGCATACATCAGAGAACGCTAGTAGATTCCTTTAAATATTTGATTTCGTGATTTACAGACATTAAGCAACTCTCCATACAGCAGGTACCGCGGCAGTTTCAAGCATCATTGTCAAAAAGTAATATCATACGGTTCATCCTGGGCACAGTTTTTCTTTAATTTCCAACCAGGCTTGGTCATGATCGCTAATTTCATCGTCCTCTGGCGATCTCTTCAACCTTTTCACTTCACATCACATCACCTGTCGGTGGTTTAGGCGTACTCATCCTTGACCCTTCTTTGCGACTCGCCATCCACGAAAGAGTGTCTGGTGGCACTCGCCCGGCGTTGGCGACGGTAGAAACCAGTGTTACCGTTGGTCGTCTTCGCGTCCCGGACGTGGTCCTTGTTGCGGCCGCCCATGCAGCATCCAAAGAAGAGCATCAGAGTCGCAAGGAACATAGCGGCCCATGCGCCCCAGGTGAAGCCGAATGCGTATTTCCCGAGGCTGGCGCTCATGTCATTTGCCTGGAATACGTTGCGAAGCTTGACGAATGTTACACTGTGCTTTGTTAGATTGAAATTCAGGGTGGAAGAAAACAGGGGATTTACGTCATGAGAGCAGCAGCAAGAGACATCCAGAAGAGCGCAATGGCGACCATGAGCCCGGCAAATCCAGCTGCAAGCCGCGAGAACGGCGATGCCATGGCGGTCAGGAACGCGAAGGCATCGAATGTAAGCGCGAGGAGATAGAAGACCCATCCGAAGCGCCACATGTAGTAATAGTATCTGCTAGTCGTGCCTTTTCCATGCGAACTGTTTCCCGTTAGCTACCATCCAACGCCCTATTTTCTGCCTCGTAGACATACCCGACAAGCGAAGCAGGCACGCCGTCATTGCTAGACACCCAAGCATATCCAATAGGAAGATCTGGTACTGGCTTTCCACAATCCGTGTTCCCTTCACCGCAGACGTAGAAATATGTCCATTGTGAGATTGCGCGCGCGCCGGTGATGGACGAGGTATCGGCTTGAAGGAAGTATGTCTGCTTTAGAGGAGTTGTGTGCTTGACTCCCGAGAGCACGACGAATAAGAGGAGGACAAGCGATCCAGCGATCAGGACCAGGGAGATTAGCCCCGTGGCACCGCCTGTGCGCTGTCAGTCCTTTACGAGTATGTATGATGCGCTGGAGGCTATCACGTACGGATGCCAGCAGCCATTGTATATGAGTTAATGATAAATTAGGAAGATTAGGTGATGGCCAGGACAGCTGTTGATTTGCCGTTAGCTTTGTTTCCACGCGAAACAGAGAACGAGGTCGGATATGGCATCTTCAGTGTTCTCGGGATTTCTCCATCAAGTGCATCGGTTTGCGATGCAAACTTACCTCAGTAGCTAAGCACTATACGGCGATTTGTCGAGTATTATTTGGTACTGGGTTGATGATGGTGTAGGATTGAAGGAGGAAGTAGGTCATAACAAAAGGTATCAGCCTAGCGCTGGTGTAGTGTAGTCTGTGAGTGGTAGTGGCTAGTTTCAGTCCAAACGTACGTGGTCAGTGGCGATGACGCCGTACTTTTCTTGGCCTGGCTGAAGTTTGCCATCAACGTAAGCCCAGGCCTTATTTTATGACTTATTTATACCAACTTTGTGAAGGAATTATGCTAAACAGCAAAGGGCAATCGTTACACATTTGACGTCATTTCAGTGGTACTTTACTCGGTTTTCTACTGGTGGTTGCGAGTTCAGCCTCGTAGATACTTGTATGAGTTTCAGCTTGCAGATCTGCCTACTTGCGTATACTTCACTCAATGTAATCTCCGTAAGGTTGCCTCTATTACCGTCCCATCTTACATGGCGAGCATGCCATAGCTTCATCGTGGTATAGCCTAAGTCTCAACTATGTATTTTGGCATTTTCATGTTCCCTGTAAAATCCAGGGAGTATCAGTGCCAGTTCAAGTGTCATCTTATCAGATCAGGTCAGAGACTGATTGCTTTAGTTATAGCGCTTGATGTTTTCGTATTTAGCTTCGTCCACGAATATAATCGTGGAAACTTTACAAGCGTATGTGGCTTCGTGTGCAGTGTTGTCTAGCTAAATGCTTTTCCATTTTTGGTAACTTTTCCTCGTTATCGAAGGTTTCACTGAATGTGCAAATCTGTCGATCTAGTACTTGACATTCCCATAGATTGAACACAAGAAGGAATCTGAAGAGGTTGAAACCTAATTATAGCGTCACTCGTTTCAGGAACTATATCCCTCTGTGCACTTGCTACCAGCTGAGCAATTCTAATTATTTTTTACTAAAGTATTTACTTGACTAAAATAGGCTGTTCACACCAGCCGAGGCCTATTTTTTGGCTCCCACTGCTTGCCTCTTTTGTATCTTAGGTTATATTATTATGTATCTTCATTGGTTTCAAAAAAGCACAAAACATGTTCTGCGGCTTCGGTAGCTAAGTGGTATAGCGTGGGTAAGCAAAATATTCACCTACCACATTACACACAGCAGCTAATATATAATATAGGATTGCAGTCAGCAATTATCCTAAGGTCATGTGTTCGACCCACATTCGGAGCTCAACATATTTTTGATATTTTTGACATGTCCCCAATGCAGTCAGCTCTAACAGGTGTTGTTTCTGCTTTCTTTTTTGGTATTTTTCTAAGACGAATATCACTTGTGTGGGGCAGTGGAATGCAGTTAAGTGGGGCATAACCAAGTCAAGTTAGAGAGGGGCTTCATGCATTCTGACCGGAACAACTTCAGAAGTCCTCAATCTAGCGGATACAAACACCTTTTGCTCCTGACATGCCTCCACAATACATGGAATTGCGTCTCTTCTGCTACTTGGGATGCAGTTTAGTAGGCGCCCAGAGAAAGACACTTTACAGTCATCCACCAAAAATTACTTGTTTACCTGAGCTATATCATTTATCTTTACTTCTGCTTGTGCCTCTTTCCCTTAACTCAGTCACGATGATGGTTTACACGGACTTGACTGAGAGCCATATCGATATCACTCAATGCCATATATTACCATCGAAGCAGCGCGATGGTCAATCGTGCCAAGCTATTCCTGGAAAAGTCAGAAGCAAGGCAGAAATTCTGTGCTATTGGTTGCATAAGCTGTCAAAAGTTAATAATGTCACCAGCCCGGATCGAGACGACCAGCTTGGCATCTGAGAGCATGTTCTCCAGGGTATCAGCATGGATATTGCGCAGCACTACTTTAGGGAGTTGGACGAGTATCTCTCTCAAAGCAATGTCTCGTGGGCACAGTGTTGGGATTCTCTGTGAGCAAGTCTGTATTGGACGACTTGGCTGCACCGGACGAATCATCAGCAAAGAGGATGGAAGTTGTTTGTCTCGTTTCTCAAGAGGTAGACTTTTCCTTCAAGAAGGTAGAGTTTAGGATGGGTCTAACAGCGGAAGAGGTCAAAATCATGCTAAGCACTCCCTTGGCGCTTCTGGATACCCATAACAGAATTCGAATATCTCGCACTTAACTTCCTGCTTGGAAAATTCTCAGGTCTTTGACATCAGCCATCCTGCGATCTACGCTTGAAGTGCTCAATTCACGACGTAAGCGTGGAAGCAATGGGAGAGGAGTCAGGCACAGGCGAGACAATGCCCTGAGGAAAACCTCCTATTCCTGCGACACGCGCGTTGTATGATAAGAAATGAGCGACGTGTGAGCAGAGAATGTAATGACGATGAACTGCTCGGGAGACGATTGTCCATCAGTCTGAAATCTCTTCGACTTATGTTCTCAGAAATGAACGACAATTATTCGCTGGAGATGAGAGCTGTGTGCGATTATGCAAGAAAGCTTTTGAGGGAGTCGACTACTCTGAGTTTAATAAGTCACTGAGGTAGGTGTTATCACAACGCATGACTCTTTGGTATATCCGCATGTTCGGATTCAAGACTAAGTCTATATACTAAGTCTATATGAGTGCCGTAGCGGATATATGTTCTCTCACCCAGGCTGCAGCATCGATATAAGATCTGCTCGTCAGTCACAAAGCTTTGACGAATACAAAATTTGGCTTTCATCTCTTGTAACATCACAGCGTTTCTTAATCAATCTCGCTAAGCATAGATAACACCAAACCCACAGAACGACGAAACTACAAAACAACTGAACAACAAAAGCAACCCACCAGCCACTGTCGTAACGATTACCAAAGTCAACATCCGGAAAATCTCAATTAAAAAAGCACAACGCTTCTCAACCAATCTCAGCATACCAACAGTGCACCAAAACCACAGAACTATGAAACTACAAAGCAGAACAAGGCAAGAAGAAACCCACCAACTACTATCATAACGGTTACCAAAGCTAACTTCCAAAGATGTTATCCGAAATGAACAGACTCGAGCATGAGCTCATGTACTATGGCCAAGCAATTCCATGCTATCTTCCAGTAGAGATCCACAACTCAAATCTTAAACATATGAAGAATTTGGACTGGATCAGCACTTTGGCATGGAACGACATGGTATTTCTCTCACTGACGTGTAAGCCCAATTACATTGTCCACAACCACTATATCAAGAAGCACTGGTCTAAGAGTTCCATTAAATCCAGCCCCTCCTTCAAACATGCAGAGGAAATAGAGTACTGGCCATTCTGAGAGGAAGACGTCTCGATGGGGAGAATGGATCCTTATCTCTACAAGAGAATTGAGACGTAGATGGCGCCAGAGTGACTAAATAGAAATAATAGCGAAGTCAGTATCTCCCGCTCTGCCTTCGGAAGGGCCTGAATGTAAGGGAGTTTATCAGTTCTTTACGAGAGAGAGAGAACCGAAGAGTCTAAGGAACGGACCGTGGAGTGAAGTGCGCTTCGACTTTCGTGCAAACTGATTTAGAGGAGGGGGAAAGGGTGCTATCCGATAGTTTTAGCATCGTAGGTAATAGGAAGTCAATGAAACACGAATTTTAGCACTTCTATATCATTAATTTGATGTGAGGTTCGATTATTCGCTAGCTAGGTAACTATGTGTACCTGCCTTTGACGAGGTGCACCTTCTTTTATTCACGCTAGAAACCATTAAGTTAGCAAAAGACCTGTTCAGATCAGAATTCCCACTACCTTAACCTAGACACGATCCGCCATCCGCCATCACTCAAAACTGCTTTAACATTTCTCCACACTCTCACCAAAAAAAAAATTAAGCTATCCTGGTTTATCAGGACCCAGCCATATCAGGACCCGGGCCACTTCCCCATCATTTTTTCCTCCTCAACTTCGACACACGTTTTTTCAACCAGCCATGGAAACTCAAAGTAAAGAGGCACGAATACCCTTAGCTATCGATGCTATTCGTGCATCAGAAAATCTCGGTCTGCGCTCCACCCCACGGAACTATAATGTGCCTCGATCTACACTCTCTCCGGCGAATAGACGGCCATCCTGCTCTGAGCGAACGTCGGCCAGCAAATCATAGATTGACTCAGGTAGAAGAGAGGAGGTACTAGTTCAATACATACTTGATCTGGATGTACGAGGATTTGCGCCCCGACGTACTAGTGTTGATGATATGGCCAATTTACTTCGAAATCGCGAGGACAGAATCCCGTAGGACAGCTCTGGGCATATCGATTCATACAACGTCAACTACAATTAAAGACGCGTTTTCATCGCGTTTACGACTTCCAAAGGGCCTTATGCGAAGATCCCCAGCTTATCAGCGCGTGGTTTCGACTTGTTGCGAATATGCGGGAGAAATATGGCATTCTGGACTGCGACTTTTATAACTTTGATGAGACGGGGTTTATGATGGGCATTGTTTGCGCTGCTATGGTCGTTACACGCGCCGATCGACGTGGCAGAGGCAAGGCAGTTCAGCCAGGGAATCGGGAGTGGGATACAGCGATTATTTGCACAAGTGGTGAGGGTCGTACGCTGCCTCCATTTTTGGTAGTTCAAGGGAAGAACCACCTTGCGAATTGATATACTGAAGGGGACCTCCCGAATGACTCGGTCATCAAGCCGACAAGTAATGGATGGAAGAATAATGATACGGGCCTCGAATGGATCAGACACTTCGATAATCATACCGCTGCGCGTACAAAGGGTCCATTTCGGATGCTTATATTAGATGGGCACGAGAGTCACGAATCGGCCGCCTTCCAGGAGCATTGCAAGACTCACAAGATTACCACTCATTGCTTACCTCCTCATTCATCCCATCTCACCCAGCCACTCGATGTAGGGTGTTTTAGTGTGCTGAAACGGGCATATAGTCGACAATTCGAGACCTTTATCAAGGCGCATATCAACCATATCACGAAAGTCGAGTTCTTCCTTGCCTTTAAAGCAGCTTTCAAAGAGTCGATAACTGCCCAAAACGCTCAGGCTGGATTCCGCGGAGCTGGCCTAGTGCCTTTCGACCCTCAAGCTGTTATTTCAATGCTTGATGTAAGGTTACGCACTCCATCTCCTGCTTTACCTCTCCCTGCCGACGCCGACCCTTGGGTTTCTCAGACACCTTATAATCCTACCGAAGCCCTCTCACAAACAACTCTTGCGACGCAATGGATTGCCCGTCACCAGGGAAGCTCGCCAACACCTCTTTTTGAGTAAGTTCTTGCGCTAGCAAAAGGTACGGAGCAATTAGCTCACCAGAATACTCTTTTAATAGAGGAGATCCGTATAATTCGAGCAGCAAATGAGGCACTTAGCAAGCGTCGCAGGGCTAAAAAGACCCGTATCCGTGAAGGAGGTGTACTTGCGGTAGAAGATGCACACGATATTTTATCTCAGTAGGAGGTAGATGAGCAGGTTCGAGGCGAATTACGTGCGGAGAGGGGAAATCGGGTCGGGGGTCAACCGTCTAAAAGGCGCTGTGGCAATCGTGAAATACTGGCCATAACGCACGAACTTGTCCAGTAAAAGAAGATATATCTAGCTCTTGAAAATTTAAGTTATAAACTCTTCGCTATTATTATTAGGGTTGTTATCTATCTTTCAAGTTCAGTGCCAAGGAAAAATGGCCCGGGTCCTGATAAACCACGTTATGCCAAAACTTGAAAAAAAAGAGAAGAAAAGAACGGAATCAAGACGCAATGAAGTTTATAAACCACGCCAGAACGATCGATTCCTGGGATTTATCGACCAGGAGAAGAACGGAAGACAGATTTACGTACGAATCACACACCTAAAAACTGCCAGAAGACACAAAAAAAGTGCTGGCTGCTCCCACCCGAGCTCCATGATGAAATAGTGCTCGCCCGCCTAAGCGCCAACGACCGGATCTGTCTCGCGCTGACTTGCACACGCTACTACAAGCAACTGCGTCAGTGTCAGGGGTCCTCACAGCGCGCTCCGATCTCGAGAATGCAGACGCCTGTCCCGACGATCCAGGAGGCTTCATATGATATATGCCGCAGTTGTGGGAAAGAATCGAGCTTTGGATGTGCACAAATCTGGCCGTGAGCGAAAATTAGGAGGCGAAGTTTACCTTTGAAGGACTGCTTGTGGTTGAACACCCTCGTCACAACGAGAATCAGGTTTGAGAGGGCAATGTTGTGTCGAGCCATGGTGGTTTCCCGAGCTTGGAAGACGAGCA